AGCTATTCTCCATGCTACTTTGTCTGCTCGCCTAATGTACCCAGTAGTTTAACCCACAGTTGGGTCTGTGGATGCAAAGCTTTCCACCAGGGCTGAACTTTTTCTCAGACATAAGTCACTTCAAGTGCCCATGAATCAGGACCCTGAAAGGCCAGAACAAACGGAATGCCAGAGAGAGCCGGGGGCCTCAAAGGCAGCCAGAGATTTAGGGAGTGTTTGGGACCCTCAGAGCATTTGGATTTGGACGAGGAAGGAGGTTGAAAGAAGAAAAAAAAAAACAGCGATTGGAATTCTGTTGTCCCCAGCTTTCCATTTACAGGATTCAGGAAGTAATAAATTGCCATTAAGGGAGCGGCACGGCAGACTCGGTGCCACACAGTCGCCTGCATCATCCTGCCCACGTGCACATGAGGACACAAATAAACCAAATGTGTTTTTAACCCAGCCTTACTTCACCATTACATCCTGGAGCACAAAATACATGTCCTACTGGAACCTGTTCTCTGTCAAGTCTATTAGAAAGATGAAAATCTGTTCTGCTCTTCACAGAAACTCTTCTTATCTCTTCATCTTGACGACAAATCTTCCACCTGTTTTTCTTGTTCTTGCAAAACTCTGCATAAACATGTCGAGAACACGCCGCAGGAAACCTCAGATTTACTCCAGCACTTTTCATCTCAGAGTTTTCATCAAGCATTTTTAAGCCATTTTTAGAAACATTGTAGCTTTTAGCTAATATCCTGGCTGATCACTGACTATTTCTGTTCTATTTTCCATTCTTTACCAATAGCTTCAGATTTTAGTTTTTGTACAACTGAGTTTTTTCTTGCTTTCTCCTTTTGTTTTTTTGTTTTGTTTTTTTACAACATTGAGTAACATTTATTTCCATGTGGACTAACCTGTAATTTTCTTTTGGTTATTTTTTTATTATTAATTTCTTGCTACTGTGAAATACAAGTGTTAACATTTGAGTTTTAATAAGATTAAACCTTTTTGGAACCCTCTTATCTATCTTATGTTTAAGCTAACATAGCTTTTTGAGGAGGCTTTTAGCATCATTTCGCAGCGTATTAGCCATCTATCGGCTAATATCCTACCAACAAAAGTTTTTATTTCTGTTAAATTCCATTTATTTTTTGCAAAGTTTGAACTCTTTTTGCAGCTACTTAAACTTGACATAGTTAGACATATTAATCTGGAGCATCCTTTAGCTATCTAAAAAATAACAACTTTTAGTTCCTCATTATTTTAATATTTCCTGCCCAAACCTGGTTTGTTACGTCATAGTGAGAAAGGAAGTTTTTATTTATTGTATTCTGAATCAGAATGGATATAATGGTAAGATTCGCTCAACTTTTTAAACATAGGTGATATTTCAAAGTACTTCATACTATTCAACAGTAAAGTACAGACCACTTGAATGAAAGTCCAGCCTCAAACTCCACATCCAAACACCTCTGCCTCAGTAGGTTAATGTGTGTGAACCTCCAAACCTCCCTGACTATTTACTGCCTCACTGCTTTTCCAAAATGTCCCTGTGGCTTGGGGGGCCCGAGCTACTAGAGCCTGAGACCCTGGACTCTCTGAGACACTTCACTGCCCCCCTCCCCAGCAGTCCATCTGAGGTTACTGCTGCAGGGTCAGATAAGCCAAAACAAAGAGCCCTTAAAATATACTCCCCCTTCAACTCATACATCATGTGACATTTTGACAAAGGTGGGCTTCCTGAATGGCTGTCACTTCTCTGTGGCCCCACACTGAACTCAACGACTGCAACGACTACAGCCACACACTGGCACAATTAGATTATGCCCTAGACAAAAAGATTTTCTTAACAACATGAGCAGAGTTCTGCACTGGTTATATCAGTATTTTCAGATCACAACAGTTCTCTTTCTACCACAAACGACACACTAACCTAACTTTTTATTTTTTCCTAATGTACAACTGAGGTGTGATTTGAAAACATCAAGCCGGGATGTAAAAAATAAAAACCTCAGGAAAGTAGAGCGCACCATGATAGAAGAAGGTTGTTAGGTGTGGACTTCCGTCCCTCCCTGGGGGTGTTCTGAGAGGAAGTTGACAGAGACAAAGCTTCAGAGATGAGAGTGCACACGGGGCCAAAGTGCTCCTGGACACTCCCTTCTATTCCAGCAAAACAACACCCCACCTAGTACACAGGTCCTATTTAGGCATGTGTGATTGTGTGTGTGTTTTCATGGGTCTTGACCCTTTGTCCTGGATCTCCAAAGAAACCCTTTGTTAATGAACAATATATGTTTTTAATCTCATCAAGTTAAAATGTTTATGGAAAGTAAATTTAACATTTTAACTTCTAAATAAAGAACTGGACAAATGGCTGAAGAAATGCATTTTGGGAGGAAGGAAGAGGACAAGTCTGAAAACAGTCCCCCAGCAGAAGTGAATACACTTTTATAAACCATTTTGGAAGTTCAAGGATATCTGGGCCTGGGTTTGGACTGGCCCCATCACGTCTATTCTAAGTTTTGACAGTGTCAACAGTGTCCTTCTTATCACTGGCCTTCTTCCTCTTCTCTTTGCAAGACTAAATCCAGAGACCTCCCACTGAGGTGTGTTTTTACTACAGGAACTAGTACCAGGAAATAAAATCAATTGACAGGAAGTTTCTGCGTTTCCATCGCAGAGTCCAAACACTACAAAGAAACACCCAGACACTCTCTTGGCCCTAAAATATATCATAGTCTGTTACATTTATGTTTATAATTTACATTTATAATTTTAGAAACCTGATGTTACTGGGTTACATCATTGTGTCTGCTGTGCTGACAGTTTTCCACAATTCAGTTGATCAGCAGATTATTGCCAATACTCACCCCTACTACCAAGACAAGCTTCTATAGTTTACTACAAATAAAACGACAGTATGCCTCTATATTCAACTCAAGACTGACTTCCTTCATGTGTTGGTCCTGTCACATTCACACTCAAATTCACACTCATCCAGCACTAAGATCAGAAAGGATACTGTGTTTCTACATTCGTTGTGCATGTTGAACGGATATAAAGATGAAAAATTGGGTCAAAGATCATTTTACTCTCTCATCTGCTGTGAATCATTCTTGGTTTAAAGTTAAAAAAGAGAAGAAGATGAACCACTGAGATGTGGTTCTAGCAGTGTGGCGGCTCTAATGGGTCTGGTGTAATAAACAGGATGTTACAAGACACAGTCAGATGAGCTGCTCTGGTCTAAGTGGCCACCCTGTTATACAGCAGGACTTTGGCTCTTCAGCTTTTGGCAGCTCAGCAACAAGGAGCAACATGAAGGTTAGTGCCTGGCCCAGGGACACATTGGCATGTAGACTAAAAGAGTCATACTAAAATTAAATTAAATTAATAAAATTAAAGCTTAATTTAACACATTATCTCTTCAGCATGCTAACTCTAATTTTCACAATAAATTTACCAGTTACATTTGATTTGCCCTAATAAATAGCTGATATTAAGACTGTTCTGTTTTTCCTCTCCTTCACTCTGATGTTACGTAAATCTGACTCTCTCACTCCCTCTCTCTCTCTCTCTAAACTGACATTTTATGGCCGTATCATTAAATCTTTCCCACAGTTTGGTCCACAGCTGTTTGCTGGCTGCTGCACGGCAGAGGAATCAAAACAGGCACATTTCACTCTCTCCCCTCCTGTGCCAACAGATACTCGAAGCCTGTATATGACTGAGTGGCAGCAGCCTTTTCACCTCCTCAATTTTCAACAACGCTCTGTCAATCCTGGCGTCAGGTGAAAGGAGATTTATGCTTGGAATGTTCACACGGGGGGCAGATTCAATTCAAATGTAGTAATATTCCAAAGGCAAACTGCTCCTGTGATATTTGAGACTTTAATTAAATGTCATACAAATGTAGTGACAAATGCATTGAGTGAAGGACAAATGTATTTTTTCCACTGGCAAAGTAATTTATTCCAAGACTCCTGAAGATTTACTGATTTCTACAAAATAAGAGTTCATGTTGTTTTCAATGCTGTTTGATGGTCACTGCCCTACATGTTGTCAGGTGAGAAATAATGAAGGTCAAATGCTACGTCACAAAAAGCCGTATGATAACAATAAGCCAAATTAGCCATTAGCCAAAAAGGTTAAAAAAAGCAAACAGCCACCTATGACAATAGCCTAATGCTAGCCCATCAACGGCTAAAGCTGACACGTCAAGACGTCACACGTCACAACAGCATAATCTTGGTAAACAGTTATAGATTTTTTTTTTAATTCAAAACGATCCAGTGTTCACCAAAGGTTCCCAGAAATGACATGGAAACACAAATCTGTTTCGACTTTGGTTGTGCATGATTTGTGATAATGTGTGAAGCCGCAGAAGGAAAATAATTTAATGGGATCTGCTTAGATTACGGGCAGTCACTGAGACGCAGCTGTGGATTTCAGGGGAGCTTTATTTTCCCCATAAACAAATGCCAGTAATCCAACCCTGTGCAACCCAAACATGAGTGGCTGTGCATCCTGCTGCCTCTCCATCAGCCCAGCACCAGCTGAGAGTGAGCACGATGTTTATGAGCACACTTTGGCATCCCAGACTCCCAGCTGACCAATCCCAGTTCCCACAACACCCCGGCACAGCTGGGACTGATGATTTCCCAAATGGAAACTGTGAATCTTCAGGTTTGAGGGATTCACTAAAATTTCCGTGTATAATTCCCGGGCCTGAGAAAACACCAATGAGCAGCAGTTAGTCTTCTGTGTGCTGCAGGTTCGTAGCCCCATTTCTGGTGTGTAATAGGAAACGTCTATTCACGGCAGTGAGTGGCACTCAAGGGAAAAAAAAGAGTGGTCAGCCATAAATTGGAGTGGGCAGTTTGGCTGGGTGAAGAGGTCAAGGTAGAATAGAGAACAAGGCTGGAGTGGAGCAGGAGCACGTTTATCTGTCCATGTTATCCCTGTGAA